CAGTCTGTGGTTTGACTTTCATTCTCCTAATAGTATCTTTTGCAGAGCAAACTTTAAAAAAAGTAAATAAAGTCCAATATATCCATTTTTTTTCTTTTATGGATAGTGCTTTTGCTGTTATATCAAAGAACTCTCTGCCTAACCCAATGTTGCAAAGATTTTCTTCTATACTTTCTTCTAGAAATTTTGTAATTTCACAATTTACATTTACATTTAGGCCTATGATCCATTTTGAGTTAATTTTTATATATAGTATATGTCGAGGTTTTTTTCTTTTCTTTCTTTTTTTCCTTTTTTGCATATTGACATTCAGTTGTTCCACTGCCATTTATTAAAAAAGATTATTCTTTCTCTATTGAATTGCCTTTGCACATTTGTTGAAAGTAAGTTGACTATATTTGCATGGGTCTATTGCTGGACTCTTTGTGAGTGGTATTTCTATGTCCAACATCTTATCTCACATACTCTCTGTCTCTCAAAATAAATGCTTTACGACTGGGTAAATAGCACCCTATGTATGAACTGGAGCACCTTAAAATTTGACTAGCAAAAGAGAAGTTTTGGCAAATCTAGATAAGAACTAATTTTGCCGTTGATTGCAGGGTGACTTTTGTGTTTAGGATGTCTTGGTCTTGAAGAAGCGCCGATGAGGCTCGGTGAGAGGTGTCATAAAGATTAATGAGGCCATGGCTGGGAGAGGACCTGGGATTTGCCTCATCAGCATCCAGATATGGGTGTAATTCCTTCAGTAATTCTTCATTTTACGGTCAAAATATTGGGTGGTGGTGATGGTGAAGATACCTATGAGAATAAGTGTGTTGTTAAATTATAAGCATTTTAAGAAAAGGTCTATCGTCTTTCATGAAAAAGAGTCCTTTGTGCAAGGGACTCTTCACATTGCCTCTGCAGTCAGTAGGCAGTAAACAGGTCTGCATTATCTTTTGTTTACTTTCAGCTGCATTGGGTCAAATACAGAAATTATACAGGAAATGTATTTAATGCTCGAGTCCCCATGACATTCCTTTGGCTCTCCTTTACCAATAGAATTATTCTTTTAAATTTTGGAATGAAAAGCATGCAAAATGGTGTCTTCATATTGCTTCAATGTTTTCCACCCACACCACTCATTTCTAATTTTTTATGGCCTTAAACCACCATCTGCTGGAAAGGTGGGGAGGACACTTGCAAGACCATCGTGTCCTGCCCTCCAACCTCAGGCCTGGCTGTGTTCGGGCCACACGAGTGAGAAGGGTTTTTGTCTTACTCGGAAAGGTTTTCAGAGTTCAGCTCCTATCTTTGGAGGTTTCATCCTCTGAGTAGGATAAGCTCTCCCTCCAAGGAATATATTCCCTGTTGATGGATGAGAATCCTTCATGCATACCCCAAACTAGAAGGTTTGTACCATGATAATAATTTTGTGTCTTTGACCAACTTTGCTTTCTTCTCCTTTATAAATCATTCAAATACTTCAAGTCCAAAAACTAACGCTGGGGCAGTTTGTGATTAACCTTTCTCTGCTCCAAGAAGTCGCCAGCATCAGGGATTCTTCCTCTAAAATAGCTTAACCAGTTTTTAATACACCAAAAAGACTTTTGCCCATAGCCCTCTGGTCATCTATTTTCCTTAATAGCCTTTTATGAGGGACCTTATCAAAAGCTTGCAAGGAAATCCAAGTAAATTATGTTCCTTGGTTCACCTTTACCTACTATTTCATTAACTTTTTCAAAAACAATATGACATAGTTTTCAACATAATTAAAGGGGTTGGGAAAAAGGGAACTTTAACTACCGCTTGACAGTTTCCGTAGTTGCTTAGGAGAGCTGGGTCACTGTTCATATTCTGCCTCTGCTTAAGGACACTAATTCATTTCTCAGGCTGTCTGGCAAGGTCAGCCACTAGTTCAAGGTGGAAATGACAAGTTTTTAGGCTTTCAAGCGTGCAGTACTCAGCTCTCCAGAGAGTATGAAGGAAGGAAACCACAAGTTTATCCAGGTCTGGCCCAGAGAAAGAGGAAATGATGGGGAAAAACCAAGACAAGGGCAGAGGGAGGTGTCTCTTTGGAGGGGAGAGCAGCCCTGAGAGAGTCTCAGACACTCCCAAACAGCTCTTTAGTTTTTGTATGAGAAAAGGAGGGGCTGATAGCAGAACTTGGGAAAACTTTCAGTGTTCCATGGGAAGTATGAAAAACCAGAATTCTAGGGTGGGCAGAGGCTGATACAACAAGAAGGAAAAGGTTAGATACTTAAATAAGCTCACACAACCAGTAGTATCAATGTTAAAAATGATAATAATCATAATGATAATTGTAGCTGCATTTGTTGAGTGCCTTCTTTGTGTAAGTATGTGCTAGACATGTGCACACACCTATCTCATTTAAGCTTAATAACCAGGGATGGCGGATATCATCGTCTTCATTTATAAATGAGCAAAATAAGGCACAGAGTTTAAAGGACATGGTGGGGGTCACGTGGTTACTAAATTATCAGATTTGGGAGGCAGTCTTCTCCTTCTAATTCTGAAGTACATGAGTTGTTGTGATGCTAGCTAGTCAATTCTAAACCCATTCAGTAGCAAAATTGGCCCATAGTCAAATATTCTGGTTAAGTAAATGTTCTCAGCATTCTAAATATGAGTCACCAGATTTCATAAAATAAGTGTCATTACTCAACGGTTAAGAAAAAGGCAAATACTGTTTAATTTGCATTAATGACTCACAAAGGCATTTCAGGGTTGCAATCCTCAAAGCATCTTTATGAATCTCCATTTTCATTGGTCTGAGAATTTGGAAGCACTTGTTTACAAAGGTCTCTGGCTGACAAACTGCTAGTGCAGTTGGCTTTAGTGTATAAAGGAGCTAGTAAGGAGAAGCAGAAAAGCTTCCATTTCTTCCTGGCTCACTTCTTGCTTTCTACTGGCTCAATGCCTATTTTTCCTTATGTCCTAAGAAATGGGCCATTTTCAGTCTTTTCCGCAACTTCCGAAAGCCTGCCGTAATTGTCCTACCAAATACTTCATGCTCCACGGGTTGTGATGCCTGAGTGTTAGAAAGCATTATTTTTTAAAGTGTCTTCCAAAGACCTTCCTTCTCTCCCCAGGTGCTCCTGCAGGCTGCTAGGTTGCAAGCGATCACTGCCTTCTGGCTCATCCATGGTTGTTGTGAAACACCCAGTATCTAAGCGAACAGGTGGGCACCTGAAGGCACCTCTACCAGGCCAAACAGCCCAGCTAGTAGGTTCCCAGCCCCTGATTTCTCAAGACAAGGACCATACAGACCAGAAGAAGCCCAAGCAGCTGAAGAATCAGAAAAGCATCTTGGGCTTTTCTTCAATACATCAATGTGCTCAGTGGACAGAACACGAATGTGGCAGCCTGAGAGAAAAAGAAATCTTTCCATCCAGCATCAGAACTGGGAACCTGGGTGAGAAAGAACCAGTTTTCTATCTTGGCAGCGGGATGGGGAGATAGCCTGGGATGCTGGTCCTCACCAAGGTCAAACAAAGTTAGAGGTTAGCGGTTTTGAAGCAATGTTTCCATGCCTGTTCCCGGGGAGCGGGTGGCATCAGCCCTGTGTTTTCATGGTGTGTAAGGTCATTACACGGGTCTCTGCATGGTGTGCTGGACAGAGGGGCAGAGACCCTGGGCAGTGCAGGGAAGCCAACAGAGCCTCCCCACTGCCCAACAGCTGTGCTGCAATTCTACCTCCAGTACTTTCTAGCTTTAGTGACCTCAGACAAGTTGACTTCAACTTATTCATCAGAATTTCAATTTCCTCATCTGTAAAATGGGAATAATGCCTGACACATCTGGTGGTTTGGGGAATATGTAAGATGGTGTATACAGAGTGCCTGGCACACAGTAAGTGATTTCTTTCCCATGAATTTCCTGGTCTGTTATCATTCTAAATGCTAAATATAGATTCATAACATAACTATGTGTGTGACTTTGTATTTTACATTCTCTCCACAGATGATAAGGAAATAACTTTTCTTAGAGGGAAATGCAGTGACTACGTTTTTTCTTCCTAATTGAATCTATGATGTCAAAAACCAAATAACTTAATAATAGCTAAAAGTCCTGACAGAGCTCTACAATTTAGATGACACGGTACATGTATTTCTATCCAACCTGCATGCTATCGTTTAAAGCAGGGATAGGGCTTCTGGGCATTTTGACCAGTGACTTTTTATCATTTATATAGTCTGGGGTTAAAAATCACATGCTTAGCTGAGTACACAGTATAGAACATTTTATATTTTTAATATCATTTTTCATCTTGCTCCGATGCCATGTCAGAACAAGTGGAAGTGAAGGGGAACTGTGCAGGACCCTAAATTTGTTGACAAAAGGCAACTTCTTCTCTTGTTGGGATTTTCTTCTTTCTTCCCACTTGTCAGCTAAGATAGAATCTGGGCTTGGGAGGAGGCGTGGGTATCCCCTTGGTGGTGAGGAAGAGGACATTAGGTTTGCTTGTTACCTTGGAGTCCTTGCCGGTCTTTGTTGCAGGATGGATTTTGTCTGTTCCCTGGGTCCCTTGGGCTGGTGGTCATGGAGGAGTGGCTCCTTCGTCTTGTCTTTTGAGGTTTAATCCTGCCCATGTCATGGCCATTTATTTGCATCTGGTGGTGGAGTCCTTGCCCTCTCTAGCACTCTTGTTCCAACTCCAGGCCCCTGCATGTCCTCTGGCCTGTCAAAACCACTGTATTCTGCCACGGGAACATATGGGAGCTTCTGGATTTCATATGTACCAAGTACAGGCCTTGGGGAGCCAGAAACTCTACTTCAGGGCACCTGAGCCACTACTTCAGCCAGGTGAACTTACCTGGCAATAGTACCATCCTGCTGAGGCTTCAGTACACACGTGGGCTTCCAGGGAAGGGAGTATGCTCACAGGAAAGAGTGGAACAAGCCCCACTGCTCTGAGACAGGGACAGAGATATACGTAACCGGCTAGATTCTGTTTTCCTTGCCTTTTCCATTTCTTCCTCCTCCCAGCTCTGGATAACACTCAACCTTTTTCCCAGGCAGGTGAGAATGCCTCTTGTGTCATATTCTAAATCCTCCATACCATACTGCATTGTCACTCAAAGTATTGCTTTGCTTACATATAGGGAGCTTTTGTAATTTAGAAGTTCCTTTTTCTCAAAGCTTAGCTTTTAAGAATATCATTTTATTAAGCACTCAACAAAAATCCTAATTGATGATAAGTGTAAAGTAATGACTTCCTTTTTCTAGGTGGTATTTACTCA